AATTCCGTGAAGTTTGTTGGGCGCGTTCTTCCTCTGACAAAGCCATGCTGATCGCTCCTGATCAAATCTTCCAAGTGGAGATTGATTCTCTACTTCAAACTTTTCTCCAATGATTTGTCCACCACTAACACGAGAGTCACTGGTCTGGAATTCCCTGGATTATCCCCATCACCCTTCTTGAAAAGTGAAACATTAGCTGCCCTCCAGTTCTGTGGCACCTCCCCTGTGGCCAGAGAGGAATTACAAAGTTGGGTAAGGGCTCCTATTAATTTCCTGCCTCACAACCTACTTTAGTCTGGTTCCAACACATCCAGACTTGGCTACTAAAACCTTCAATACCTCCTCATTCCCTATGTCAATCTACTCAAGAACCTCACAATCCTTCTCCCTAAATTCTGTACTTACATCCTTCTTCTCCCAAGTGAAGACAGAAGTGAAACACTCATTTAACGCTCTGCCAATGTCCTTTGGCTGCGCACACAGATTGCTCCCTTGGTCACAAATAGCCCTACTCTTTCCCTGGTTATTCCTTTCCCCTTAACATAATATCTTGGGACTCTCCCTAATTTTCCACCAGTGTTTTCTCATGTCCCCTTTTTCTTCTCCTAATTGCTTTCTTAATTTCTCCCTGTACTTTCTATACTCCACTAGGGCCTTTGTTGATTTGCTCCCTTTGTATCTGCTAAATGCCTCTTTTTTTTCCTTTTTATCCAGTCCTGAATGTTCCTAGATATCCAGGGTTCCAATGGCTTGTTGCTCCTATACTTCAAGCTAAAGCGAACGTTAGGCCTGTTCTGTCACCATTTCCTTTATGAAAGCACCCCCACCCTCGACCACTGTTCTTCTGTAGATTTTCCCCCAAGTGTCTGTACCCAGTTTACTTTAGCCATATCCTGCCTTATTTTAATAAAATCTGTCTTCCCTCAATCCAAAACCCTTTTTTGTAGACCATCTCTTTCCTTTTCCATAACAGATTAAATTGTATGTTGTTGTGGTCACTATCACTAAAATTCTCTCCTACTGCCACCTCAACCACCTGTCTGGCTTCATTCCTCAGAATTAGGTCCAGCACAGTGCCTAGTATGCAGTTCATTCTTTGCATGATTGAATATGTGTTTATCCATTTATATGTCCTTAAAGTTAATTAATAGAGTATTATAATTTCTTTACCTCAAATGTTACTTTTCCCTACCTTTTACACATTTGCTGACACGTGTTTACTAGTTCTATCTAATTCTGCTTAAATTAACCCCAATTCTGTGTTTATGTTACAACTTACCTCCCCATCTGGTTCTGTGCAGACTGTGTTTCCTGTTCTTTCTAGCTGAGAAAGTTCCCAACTGATCTACAAAATCAGGCTCCTTCTGCGTACATCATTTTGGCAATCTTTTGGATATCACAAGACAGCTCTTTGACTTTTTGCCAAGCTGTTGAATTTAAATAAATTGTGTTTAAACTGCTCAGCAATTGAGTTGCTAATTGGGTATCTGAGTTTTGCTGGTCTCATGGTCTTCCTATTAATAACACTTACCTTACTGGAATCTTGCCCTGTTGCAGATGAGTCAAAAGGCCAAGAGATCAACCTTAGCTTAGTGATGATGCCCTAATCTTTGGGTTAGAGGGTTGAGGATCTCACTACCAAAACAAAAGCACATTATTTATGCTGATGCTCCAGTCTAGCACTGCAGGAGTACTGTCCTGTTGAAGGTGCCATCTTTCAGATAAGATATTAAACCAAGATCCTATCTGCCCTTTCAGTTGAGAGCAAAAGATCTCATGATGCTATTTCACAACTACTTACATTTATGTAGCACTTTACTGCTTCATAGGATCATTATCAAACAAAATTTTACATCAGGTCATGTTAATTCTTAGGATGGATGTCCAAAATCCTTGTCAAAAAACAAAGGATTTAAGAAAGAAAGAGAGATGGTTTAGAGATGACATTCCAAAGCTTAGAGGTTGACCTACTGAACGTATGGTGATCAATGATGGAGTGACTAAAATCAGGTTTCAGAAAGAAGTGGAATTGTGATACTTCTTGAAGGGTTGTAAAATTAGACTACATAAATGGCCAAGGAGGAATCCGCAATCAAGTATCAGGAGTTTAAAATGAAGATATTCCAGAGCCTGTAGCCAAATTGGTCAGTAACCAGAGATATGACAGTTGGGGATGCTGGCTGCAAAGTTTTGGATGAGTTTAAATTCATGGAGAGCGAAAGACCAGAGGCTGCCCTGGACAACACTGGAACAGTCAAGTCCAGAGCTTACAAAGGCTTGGATGAAGATTTCAGCAGCAGATGAGCAAAGGCAGGGGTGATTTTAGGGAGCTGAAAGTAAACAGCCTTGATGACAGTGTGAAAATGATGCCAGAATTTCAATTTGGCATCAAATACGACACCAAGATTGCATACAGCTTGGTTCAGCCTCAGACTGTTGCTCGGTGAAGGAATGGAATTTATGGATATGGAACAGAGCTTGTGATGCAGTTCATAAATAATGGGCTTTTCTTCCCAATATTTAGATGGAGGAAATTTCGGCTCATTTATGATTGTATATTGGGCAAGCACTGTGACAAATCAGAGACAGTGGAGGAGGGAGGTGATGAGGTGAACTTTCTTGTTATCAGCGACTGTGTACTTTCAGATAATACTGCTGAGGGGCAACATGTAGATAAGGAATAGGAGAAGGCAGAATATAACTCTTCCAGTTACCCCCAAGTTACAGCACAGGAGATAGCATGGAAGCTATTACAATCTCACTGAATCTGGATAGGTAAGAATGTCCCACTCAGCTGCATATAGGAGGGAAATGTTGTGGCCCAATGTGAAAGAGAAAAAAAAACTTTGAAGAAGGCATGGGAGTGCTCCCTAGTCCCCTGAGCAAAGCTTGCTTCAACCAGTAGAAGGGTATATTATCGTGTCATTATTGCTATACTTAAGACTGAATACTGTATTCCTTCATTATTTCAGTGACTGAATTTCAAAAGTACTTCACTGGCTGTGAAAATGCTTTTGGATGTCCTGAGTTTGTGAAAGATGCCAAATAAATAGGAGTTTGTTTCTTTCTTTCCATTTCAGAATGGCTTTGTGTCTGTGTTTCAGTGTGCTGCTCACCAAGCCCTAAGTCTGCGCCCAAAGACAGACTGAGGCTACTTTATACCCAGCTGGGTCTCTGCTAAAATGAGAACTTCCAGAGACTCATTCACACTGCTTAATTCTACAGCATGCAAGTGACACACTCTGACCTGAAAATTTTGAAATAGAAAACAGTGCTTCAGTGCTATTTTATTTTTAAATGAAATCTCTTACTGTATACAGTTCACATTATGCATTAGCTATTACAAATCATAAGAGGCCTTTCAATCTGTTTCAGGTTTAATAATGTAGTAAAAACTGTCTGAATTTGATATGGCTGTGATGGATAATGGATAGCAGGATAAATAATTTTATATTTTAAGACTTCATTTAAAATTGATTATTGCTCTTTTTAAAGATTGATTAAAACTTACTTAGCAAGAGTGCAAAATTTGGAAAACTGAATAGTCAGACTAGTCCCTTGGCCACAATATGAGGAATGGGCCCATCTTTTGATGATTCCAGTATTTGGTGCCATTCGCAGCACGGCACATAATGAAATAAATATGTCAAGCTACAATCTACATTGCTTAGCATTAAGACGTAGACTGACAAATAGCATGTATTTGTACCAAATAAGCGCAATGTAACATACAACAGGACACAGACTAACTATTTCCCTTTGATTTAGAATAACATTACCTTCACCAAATTCCCCACCATCAGCAATTTGGCAGTGGATAGTCATCAATTATTAGATCAATTGCTCAACCTACATGAACACCATGGTTACTAAAGCAGAACTGAACCTCAGCATTCTGCAATGAGGCACTGCTGGTCTCAAATCCCTTTTCACCATCTGCAAGCCTGAAGTGAGACGTATAAAGTTAATATTCAACATTCATCTAGATGGGTGCATCTGTTACAACATTTTAAAAACTCAACATCATATGAGATAGAGCTTTTCACTTGACTAGTGCCCCAGCAATGGATTCAGTCTCTACCTTCAGCACCAGGGTACTCTGGCTACAGTATGAATCATCTATCTGATGCTTTGTAGTACCCCACCAAGATTAATTTTGTCAATACATTTCTCTGTTCAGACGTCCACAGCATGAAGGGTAAGAGCAGTAATATTATGAGAGTGCAGTCACGTCCAAAATTCTTCTCCAGTCACACCCCATCCTGATTTGTGTTTTCGTCATTGTTGGGTCAAATTCTTGGAAATACATACCTAGTGCCTTTGTGGGAGCACCATTACCTCAAGCACTAAGTAATTCAAGGAAATGACCCAATGGCACCTTATCAAGGCAACTGTATTACATAACTAAAGTAGCCTTGCCAATGATTTGTACAATCCACAAGTAAATTCTAAAAAAGCTTCTCAGGGAACTATACTGTTCATCCTGATTTGAAAAATAATGCTCCTCTAACGCAAGACAAATAGATAAAGGATATTCATTTGTTTTGATTCTGCATTTTTCTACTGGTTTGAAATCTCAAGGATCAGATAGACTTGCTTTTATTTTCCCAGTACTGGCAGTGCCTTTGCACCGTTACTAGGATGATTAGCACTGGCCTGGTAAATGGGTAATCATAATAGAAGCAATCATTTGGTTATGCTTGTGGTGAAGAATTATTTTGCTTAACTTTGTATGAATAACTACCAAAGCTGCACTTTGCAGGATTTTCCTACCATTTATTTAAATAATAAGATTTAGATGCAGCTCACTAGCAGCTTCTTAAGGGCAGTTGTGGATGGGCAATAATTCCTATATGTCATGAGCAACGCACCCCATATGGGCTCCCAATGGGTAAGGCTTCTTCTTGGATTATGTTATAATTCTATTATTAAAACACAAAAACATTGCTACGGAAATAGTGCACACCTGATGGTAGATATTTTCTCCCTTTGTGTCACAGGAAGATACCTGGGCGGAATGTGTATGCACAGATGCATAATGAAAAGGAACAGGAAATGACCAGCCCTGTCAACCACAGTGAAGACACGCAGCACATCATACAAGGCGAAGAGTATATTGACGATGATTTGGACTCCCAGACGCTAGGTAACGGAAGAGGTAGCCTGTTTTTTTTTCCGTTTATCTCCCTTTTCTAAACAATGGTATTTGGAATTAAATTTGCATGGTTAAAATCATAATCAAATAGAATAATACAGAACAGAAAGTGGTCATTCAATCCATTATAGCTGTTTCTCATTGTTGGAGTTACCCAATTAGCCCCATTCACCTGCCCTTGAGTTACACTCACCAGTAACTGTATTCTGTCTTAGATGCCAGTGTTTTGAACCTATTAGAGACTGGTAACATTCAAAGAGAAGTACAAACATGCAGGTAGCTCTGTACATTTTTTCTTTTCTAATATTTGTGAGCTCTCTTTTGGAAATTACTATTGAAACTACTTCTGTTCCTATGTATAATGGTCTCTAGTTACTCTTGTTAATTCACTGAAAAAATCTCTTCATAATGCTTACATCAAAGCTCTTCTTGGCTTTCTCTATTTCAAGGAGAAAGAAAAGCCAGCTCCTCAAGTGTCTCAATGTAGCTGAAGTCACTTGTCCTTGGAATTCTGTTTGTTTACAACCTCTCAAAGCCCTTAAAATCCTTCCCAAAGTGTGATGAGATCTAATAATATGAATTTTCATATCTCCTTCAGTAATTTTGAACCAGAAGTCATTTGCAGTATTGTTGTGGAATACTCCTCCAGGCACTGCATAAATATAGCCCAGAAACTGTTTTTTGCTGTCTTTGGGTCAGACAACAGCGTCCCCTTTAAGGACTGCTAGCTTGGCCAGCCAAAACCAAAACATGATACCCAACCCATGCACATGTCCTAACCAGGTCACAGAAGCTTGATTTGCATTATGAAAAAGCCTACCTACTGAAACAAGCAAATATTCTAGCCAGCTATAGAAAGGGAACTAGGGAGATAGGTTAATTGATAAAACAACAGAAAATTTGTAGGAGGCATTAAAAAAAGAAAATTAGGTCTGATACAGACCAAGTTATACCCTCAACAAGCAAGAGGAATTGCTAATAAAAATACTCTCAAATGATTAAAGAGGTAAGAGACTGCAGAAAATTAAAAGAAATAGCATGCAAAATTGAAGAAGAAGGACAGACCCAGGTGAATGGCAGAGGTTTAAAGAACGGCAAGGGATGACAAGGTGGGTAGCAAAATCTATAAGAAGGGAATATGAACAGAAACTTGCATGGGATGTGAAAATCAATACCAAAGCTTTCCTAATGAGAGAAGAAAAGTGGTTAGGAGCAATATGGTTCCCTTGAAAAACTGAAAAGATGGGTTGTTACAGTGGTTAGCTCAGTTAGCTGGATGGCTGGTTTGCAATGCACAGTAATTCCAACAGTGGGTTCCATTCCCACACCAGCTGAGGCTTCCCTGAAGGGTGTGCTTCTCAGCTTCACCCGTCCCCTGAGGCATGGTGGCCCTCAGGTTAAACGAACACCAGTTGTCTCTCTCTGATGAGAGAGCAGCCCTCTGGTCTGGTTGGGCAATGGTGACTTTACCTTTTTGTTAGAGATTATAATTAAAGATAGGGTAGCTGAACATCCGTGCTGGCCAGGGAGTTGTCCATGATTCATATGTATAATCAGAACGCTTTTGATGAAATCCCTAGTAAGTCATTATTGGCTAAAGATGAATTTCATGAAATTGAAAGCAAATTATTAACTTCATTTGGAAAATTGTTGAGTGGCAGGAGATCAAGTAGGGACAATGAGCAAGTCTCTAAATGCTAGAATGTGATTGGCAATGTCACAAGGATCTGTGTTGCGGCTTCAATTGCGCACTGTCTACCAACATTCAATTGCTACTTTCCTATCCCACAACCCTCATTTACTTTCCTTCCCATAGAATATACCTGTGACCCGGCAATCTGCATTCCTCAGGCACATGTTTGCATATGTGTAACACATTTGGTGCAAACCAATTTGCCGGTTATTGGCTGTGTTTGATATAAGGGTGTGGACACTGTGGGGATCTATGAACATCAAGATACAGAAATGTCCAAATAATAATCTTTTTCCTTGTATTTTATTATTTGAAACAGGTGGTCACTCTTCTGTGGTTCTCAGCATAAACTCCCGGGAAACGCACCATTATTTGAGTAGCTGATGTTTACTCCGGATGAAGTGTTAAGACTCACCACCATTTTGTTTTGTTGTTCCTGGGGTTGGGAGGAGGTGAAGCAGTGAAGTGAACTGCATTGTGGTGATGGGACTGTGGGTAATCTCACCTTCAGTAGTTACCAAATCTTCAATCAAGCATCAGAACGTTTCGAAGCACCCTTACAGAGAGAGTGACGTCATGGAATGGAACCCTGAAATGACCATTCCAAGCATTGCATCTTTCTATGAATGAGCACTGATGGGCTGGGAAACAAACTGCCTCAATATGCTGTTATGTGAATTCCTCTCTATTTCCCTTCTTGCAAGCTTTTTGAAAAAACGATGCGTACATTGCAGGTTTGTCACTTCCCAATTGGATGTACCTTTTGTTTCCATTCCACTGAATTAATTTTTTTACATTTGAAATATGTTCTATCCTAATGTGATCTTGAAAGGGTAAATAAGTTGTCAGTTCTTCCTTTGGATGTCAAACGATCTTGTTTGTTCAATCATAGAGGTATAACCTTTTGTCTTCACCACATTGAACCTGTAGAATGTACCATTCGAGGATATGAAATGCCAGCAGTTCTGTAATTGGGAGGGAGTGATTCATTCCACCAGCTGATCTGTCCCCATTGTATCAAAAACAAACATTTACCATAGTTTTCTAGCCCATTCTCATGGCATCCCTATCCTGTTACAAGTTAACATGAATCTTCATTCTAATTGTCCAATTAACTTCCTTTTCTTGAACTTTTTCTTCCCTACAATAAGATGAGACATTTGGATGTTTTTATGTGCTGTGTCACATTGTAGGTGAGGTAATTACTTGATTTAATCACCCATTTTAGTTGACTGTCCAATTGGAAAGAGTAATGGCTATAAATGAATTGGCAGTAATAGTCCCTCATCTCTGAACCCTTGGACAGTAGTCTTCTGCAAACTCTGCTTAAAGTAGAGTTATCAAGCAGCATTTAATCAGCAATAACCTGTTAGGGTCTCCAGGGGTATTTAGTTACTGACCTGAATGCAGTTTTGGTTCAAACAGAGGTCAGGTGAATATCACTGCCGGTGATATCAAAGTAACATTTGACCAAGTGAGGCCCCAAGGACCCCCATTAAATTTGAATTGGATGGAAATTCCCCATCATTTGGAGTCATACCTAGCAGATAGGAAGATGGTTGTGGTTGTTAGATGTCAGTCATTTTAGTTCCAGGACATCTCTGCAGCAGTTCCTCAAAGTAATGTCCTAGGCCCAAACATCTTCAGCTGCTTCATCACTGATGTTCCCTTCATCATAAGGTCAGAAGTGGGGATATTCACTGATGAATGCTCAATTCAGGACAACTCTTCAAATACTGAGATAGACAGGGCCTGCTTGCAGCAAGACCTGGACAACTTTCAGGCTTGAGTTAATGGGTGGCAAGAAGCAGTTGTACCACACAGGTGCCAAGCATTTACCATCTCCACTAAGAGATAAACAAAACATCTCTTGCTGTTCAACAGCATTAGTGTCACTGATTCCCCACTATCAACATCCTGGGGATTACCAGACCTGGACCAGCCATATAAGAACTGTAGTCGGAAGACCAGGTCAGAGGCTAGAAATTCTGCAGCAACTAACACATCTCCCCAAAACCTGTCCAACATTCATGAGGCATGAGTCAGGAATGTGATGGAATACTCCCCACTTGCCTCAGAGCCACAACAAGATTCAACAAGGCTGACACTACCCAGGAAAAACAGTCTATTTGATGGTCATCCAATCACCCAACTGCAACATTGACTTCCTTCACCTTCAGTACACAGTGGCAGCAGAGTGTGCCATCTACAAGATACATTGCAGCAATTTCTAAGGCTCTTTTGACAGCACCACAACCATTACTATCTACAAGCACACCACCACCTAAAGTTTTCCTGCAATCCACACACCATCTGGACTTGGAACTGCATTGGTATTACTTCGCTGTCCCTGGGTCAGAAAAACTGGAACAATCTTGCCTAACAGCAGTGTGTGTACCCACACTATGCGCATCAGGCAGCTCACTAACATCTTCACTAAAATGGCTAGGGATGGACAACCAATGCTGACCTTACCATCGGTACGCACACTTCAAATAAATGAAGAAAAAGAAAGCAACAGCTTATTACTTTAAATTGGAGTCACTTGTTAAGTGAAAGTTTTTTTGCTTGTGCTTTATTTCCAAATGAAATAAACAAGTTCATTTACACCAGACAGTAGTCCTCAGCTGGAGTGTTACGTTGAATTCTAGGCACCACAGAGAAGAAAGTTGAGGCCCTGGAATGGGAGCAGAGGAGATTTACCATATTGGTACCAAGGATGAGCAACTTCAGTTAAGTGAAGAGATTGCAAAAGCTATGATTCTTCAGCTTAGTGCAGAGAGGTTTGTGAGAATGTTTAATAGAGGAATAGTACCACAGAGTAGCAAAACAGTCAGCTGTACATGATTTCAGTTTCCAAATGACTCAACTATTGATAATTGCATCCTTTCAAGATCTTAGAGGTGTCATTTTTTTTTTCAGTCTATCCTGGTTATTTACAGCTGAGTAAAAGAAAGGGAAGTTCACAAATGCTTGAAAATAAAACAGTGCATCTGAAAAGAAGAGGAATTAATATTTTGAATGGAAGTATTGTTTGAGAGGTGACCTGGTTGAAGTATATAAAATATTGAAAGGATTAAATAGTGTAAATGCAGAGAAGTTTCTTCTGATGGAGGTCATCCAGAACAATCTTTGGATCAGAGTTAGACTATTTCGAAGCAAACTCCAGGCAGATTCCTTCAATGGTATTGGGAATCTGGAATTCTCTCTCCTGTGAAACACTTAGAATTTTGAGGATTGAGTTTTGTTAGGTATTGGTACCAAGTGATTTAGAACAACAGCAAGGCGCTAGATTGAGGTGAAGATCAACCATAGTCTAACTTAATGGTGAAGCAGGCACAAGAGGCTCAATGGCGTGCTTCTGTCCCTATTTTTCTTTGACTGATACTGGGAAACATTAGTGACTCAGATCCTGGAGGCTCCTCTGTAATTAGTTGTATTGCCATTTTGTACCAATATTGAATGTACAAACAAAAAGCAATGGACTGACAGTGACTGTAACTAAGAACAATAACATTCAACATCTAATATCATTAATGGTTGAAGGGGTCATGTGGAGGAATATTCCATCATTTTAGCACTGAAGAAAAGCTGAGGATATCTGCGAGTACACTTTAAATCTGTCACATGTAACCTTAAAGCATGTTTCATTTATTCAGAATTTGCTACTACCACCACCATAATAATGTATATGTAGATTATGATCCACTAGTGTTGGCAGTCTTGTTTATTTGGGATGACATTGCTGGCAGCATAAGATGGACGAACGTTTCCGCTCTTATTGTTCCACTGTACAGTAGCTGTAGGTGCCTCGTGTGTTGTTTCTATGCCCCCTTTGCTGACTCAAGACAAGATAACTGAAGCAACTGAAAATTTTTTTTTTATAATGTTCTGTAACATTTAGAATTCTATGAATATTATGTCATGTGGTGTAAATCCCTAAAGCTTTCATATAAGTGCAATGTCACAGGTGACTTTGCTCGTGCTCCCTGTGCCCCATCCCCCCTCCACCCCTCACCCCTTCTCTCTTTCTCAGAACAGGTTGATATGAGACCGCTACTCTATCATGACCGCACTGCAACATTTGATATACTGTTTCATTTAGTGCTGTTTGTCATGGCCATTTAAACTACCTTTGCTGCATAAATCATCCACTCAGCTCCTGTCCTTATTACAGCCTTGGTTCAAACATGGACAAAAGAGCTGAATTCCAGAGGTGAGGTGAGAGTGACAGCCCTTGATGTCAAGGCCACATTTGTCTGAATGTGGCATCAAGGAGCCCTAGAAAAACTTGAGTCAGTGGGAATCAGGAGAGAAACTCTCTGCCAGTTGGAGTTAGACCTGACACATAGCAAGATGGTTGTGGTTGTTGGAGGTCAGTCATCTCAGCTCCAGGACACCTCTGCAGGAGTTCCTCAGGGTGGTGTCCTAGGCCCAACTATCTTCAGCTTCATCACTGATCTTCCACCATCATAAGGTCAGAAGTGGGGATGTTTGCGAATGATTGCACAATGTTCAGTAACATTCGCGACTCCTCCGATACTAAAGCAGTCAGTGTAACAAAATCTAGACAATATCCAGGCTTGGGCTGAAAAGAGGCAAGTAACATTTGCACGAGACAAGTGCAGTGCAATAACCATCCTCAATAAGAGAGAATCTAGCCATCACTGTTTGAAATTCAATGGTGTCACCGTGACTGAATCCCCCACTATCAACCTTCTGGGGGTTACCGTTTAGAAGAAATGTAACTGTACTAGTCATGCAAATACTGTGGCTGCAAGAGCAAAATTATGCAGCATGTAACTCACCTTCTGACTCCCTAAAACCAGTTAATCATCTACAAGGCACAAGCCAGAAGCCTAATAGAATAATCCCCATTTATCTGGATGAGTGAAGCTCCTACAACACTTGAGATGCTTAACACTAGCCTGCAGTCAGCCAGCACCAGCACAAAGCAGCCAGTTTGATTGGCACCACACCCACAAGCATCCACTCCCTCCACCATTGATGCTCAGTAGCAGCACTATATACTATCTACACTGCAGACGTTCACGCAGGTTTGTTAAACTGCACTTTCCAAACCCACCACCACTTCCATCTTTGAAGGACAAGGGCAGCAGGTACATGGGAACACTACCAGCGGAGTTAATCTCCAAGCTACTCACCATCGTGACTTGGAAATGTGTCACCATTCTCTCATTGTCTCTGGATAAAAATCCTGAAACTCCCTGCCTAAAAGCATTGTGGGTCTACCTACAGCAAATGAACTATACCTCTTTAAGAAGGTAGCACCCCACCACCTTCTCAAAGGCAACTAGTAATGGGCAATAAATGCCCAGCCAGAGATGCCCACATCCCACAAGTGAATTAAAAAAAAATCACAGCACTGTCATAATGAATGATATGTTGATCAGGTGAAAAAAGTGTCACTTCATCTGAAAGATGCTTGTGTAGGACATTAAATCTTGGCAATACAATATTGGGATGAATGTCCTGTTTTGTGCTATGTATACAGCCATGTAATGGAGGCTGAACAGCCATTAGAGCAGAGTTGGGGTTTAACTGGTAACCCATTATTTACAAGGTTGTGCCTGAGAGTGAATGGACTCGGGATATGTTTAAGGTATAGCTGATGAGACTAAACAAGTTATTGTTCCATGAATAATATTCCTTTTGGGCATTTTGGAAGACAAAGCTTTATTTTATCAATTAATGTACTGAGTTACAAGCCAACTTTGATTTTGCTTTAGCTGAATATATTATTCACCATCTTAATCTTTCTTATTTCCATAAATGGGCTGGTCTCTCTGTCATTCCTTTTGACTAGACAGATCAGTATTCTTCATGATAACCATTCATGTGACTAGCTGACAAGACACTAGTTGGCTTGCTTACTTCTACCAGGCTCTTCATCTAGCAGCCACTCTCACCAGGCCCCTCTGTGATTGACGCCATGTCGATTTTGACTTCAGTGATAAGAGGTAGCACAGTACTAGACACAAATGAAATGTTATTTAAAAAGGCATGGGGCTGAATATCCTCACAGTGTCTTGTCATTGGTCACTCGCATAAATTCTTGGCAGGAGAAATTGGGAGGACATACCCCACACCTCTTCCTGTTCTCTTTACCCAGCCCGTGCTGTAGTGGGAACTTGACTTTTTAGTTGGGGGTTTCCTGAACCCTGTTAGTAGTGAGTTCATATGTAAAGAGGGAGAGGAAAAAGCCATGCTTCAGTCTCTTCTGCAGGATTATACTCTCTATCACCCTATTGGTCTGGCATCATGAGCAATGGCATCGAGGAGGTGTATATTCAGGACTGTCAGTGACCTCAGAGGAGCAGTCATGATATCATGGTATCTGTGCCAATTTACTAGGTAGGAAAATGGCAGGTCAACAAAATGTAATCTGTAAAGTGTACTAATTGCAATTTTCTTAATTAAGGTTTTTTTTAAAGGAAAACGTTGTATGCAGGAATCCACTGATTTTGCAATGAGAATTATCTGCATTTTTGTAACAACAAGCCCCAGATTGTGAGATATTAGGCAGTTATTTCACATTACCTTCAGTCTGTCTGGTTATAAACCAGTGTCCTTACATGGAACATTTATGCTGCCTCAGATGGTATCTGAAAGGTTCAGTGTCCAGTTTGTTTTAAACCACCTGTGCTCACAGCTGCACTCTAATTTACCTAATACCCAATGCATTCAGTAATTCACTTTCAAACTGGCAATTATAGCTCTTTATACGGTATTTGTTGGACAGTGCTTTTAATGGAATATTCGAGTTTAATGAAAAAAAATTAAAAGCACTTTAATTGATGAACACACACTCATTCACACTGGATGGTCTGTATAAACATGGCAAGTTACCTTGGGATTTCAAACAGGAAGAATGCTGTTTGTTTTCATTAAACGAGAGCCCTGCCTCTGTTGGTGCAGGGAGACATTTGGTCAATAAAATCTGTTTGTAAGATGCACTCTGCAGTTGAATTGGTGACACTGCACACAACACAGATATACCCACATGAATTGTATGATTGGTAAATTGAGTCTGTTCTTTGTATGTTGTTTTTGTATATACTTTCCCAGGTCACAATTTTTTTAGTAGTTATAGTAATGTTTGTAGACTGCTAGACTTGCTAGACATACTTGTTGCAACAAAATGATGAACTCTGTATATTTATTTGTTTGGAGATGCTACTTATAATTGTTAACATAAATCCACAATCTCATTGAAAGTGTAATCAATGAACTATGTCTAATTTCAGTGCACAGAGAACAAGTGCACATAAATGCCTGAATGCGGTACTTATTTTGTTTAACGGGATCTTTTCAATCTTAATATTTTGATTAATGCACTGTGTATAATTAATTTTTACAAGCTGTTGGGCTAAGTAACGTGCTGTGTATTCGATCGCATTCAAAGGTCTGCCTTTATGTGAATGTGAATGCACTTGAAACTTTGTTTAATAAATACCTGGATCCAAACTGTGCTCTGCGTTGGTTCTTTGTTTCACAATTGTGTAATTTACACTGTGTATTGTGGTTTCCTTTTAATAACATTTAACAGATACGAAAATAAAACTATTGCCGCATTGTATGAATGTTGGTTGTTGAGGATTCATGTGACTAATAGCAATTGTGTCCACTCTTCATCCATGGGAGTCAACTTTGGTAAATCCCAGCTTCACACCATCATTCTAGATGATTGATGACTAATTCATATTACACGTCAGTGCACTTTACTAACCTTCACTGTTCATGGACATCTTACATTGCAATGCTTCTGCCAGGTTGCTCTGTACACGAGGCACACAGCCACCTCCTGCATATGTATGGGATGTATTTATTGGCTGGTTTTTCTTAATACTCTCTCCTTTTGTGTATACTTGGAGGCACACAGCATACTGCAACTGTCCTGACAAGTCTGGGGGCTGGGCAAGGTCAGCCCTGTAGGACTGAGCAGGAAATATCAATGGAGCTCATCAGGGATGGTCCAGGCTTTGCAGTGGCAAGTGAGAAACCGTAGTCAGTAACGGGCTGTATTATGTTGTGACGCGGAGGAGGTAGTGACAGTGAAGATGGTCAACTCCGAATACAAGGTTAGAATCTGATATAATAAAGGAGGGCACAAGGTACAGAGGGAGTGGGATTGTTTTTTCCTCAACCAGCTACCAAGCCGTGGTAGTGATGTGCTGCCCACTAAGTCTTCCTGAATTTATATATATGTATTTTATATATATATAATAATCCACTGATTGGATGTCTTTGAATTGGTAGAGTTTGCAGAAGAAAATCTTGCCAGTCCATCTTCTGAGGGATCTGTAGCCTCTGGAATGGAATCTAGTTAAGACTGGTGGTTGCAGAGAGCAGTGTGGATCAGCATCATGATGCTTACTAGACTGCTTCAACATGGAGGTCTCAGCATCCCCAGCGAGTGATCTCAGTTCACTCCTGCCAGCTCAAGGAAAACCTCCTCACTGGGGCCTGAAGAGGCAAATGTTGGCTATATTACCACCCATTTTGACTCTCTGCCGGGTATTAGACACCTTCTCTCCCTTTTGTTGAGTGAAAGGGTAGGCGATGGCCTAGTGGTATTATCATTAGACTATTAATCTAGAAACCCAGCTGACGGTCTGGGGACCTGGGTTCGAATCCCACCATGGCAGATGGTTGGAATTTGTATTCAAAATAAAAAGTCTGGAATTAAGAATCTACTTGTCACCGTGAATCCATTATCGATTGTTGAAAAAACCCATCTGGTTCACTAATGTCCTTCAGGGGAGGAAATCTGCCACCCTCACCTGGTCTGGCCTACATGTGACTCCAGACCCACAGCAATGAGATTGACTCTCAACTGCCCTATGAAATGGCCTAGCAAGGCTCTCAGTTGTACCAAGCACCACAAAGACTCAAAGAAATGAAACTGGATGGATCACCTGGTGTCGACCTAGGCACCGGAAAAGACAGTGGCAGAAACAGCCCTGTTCAACCCTGAAAGGTCCTCTTCACTAACATCTGGCAATTAGTGCCAAAACTGGGAGAGCTGTCTCACAGACTAGTCAAGCAACAGCCTGACGTAGTCATACTCACAGAATCATACCTTACAATGTCCCAGACACCACCATCACCATCCCTGGATATGTCCTGTCCCACTGGCAGGACAGACCCAGCAGAGGGGGTGGCACAGTGGTATACAGTTGAGAGGGAGTTGCTCTGGGAGTCCTCAACGTTGACTCCGGGGCCCATGAAGTCTCATGGTTTTAGATTAAACATTGGCAAGGAAACCTCCTGCTGATTACCACATATCGTCCTCCCTCAGCTGATGAATCAGTACTCCTCCATGTTGAACAGCACTTAGAGGAAGCACTGAGGATGGCAAGGGCACAAAATGTACTCTGGGTGGGGGATCTCAATGTCCACCACCAAGAATGGCTCAGCAGCAGTACTACTGATCGAGCTGGTCGGGTCCTAAAGGACACAGCTGCTAGACTGGGTCTGCGGCAGGTGGTGAGGGAACCAATAAGAGGGAAAAACATACTTGACTCATCCTTACTAATCTGCAAGCTGCAGTTGCATCTGTCCATGACAGGATCAGTAAGAGTGACCATCGCACAGTCCTTGTGGAGACGAAGTCCTGCCTTCACATTGAGAACAACCTCCATCATGTTGTGTGGCACTATCACCGTGCTAAATGGGACAGACTTCGCACAGATCTAGCAACTCAAGACTGGGCATCTGTGAGGCGCTATGGGCCATCAACAGCAGCAGAATTGTACTCCAGCACAATCTGTAACCTCATGGTCTGCATATCCCCCACTCAACCATCCCCATTAAGCCAGGGGATCAACCCTGGTTCAATGGAGAGTGCAGGAGGGGATGCCAGGCTTTACCAGGCATACCTGAAGATGAGGTATCAACCTGGTGAAGCCACCAAACAGGACTACTTGCACTCCAAACAGCGAAAGCAGCAAGTGATAGACAGAGCTAAGCAATCCCACAACCAACGGATCAGATCTAAGCTCTGCGGTCCTGCCACATCCAGTCGTGAATGGTGGTGGACAATTAAACAACTCACTGGAGGAGGAGGCTCCACAAATATCCCCATCCTCAATGATGGAAGAGCCCAGCACATCAGTGCAAAAGATAAGGCTGAAGCATTCTCAGCAGTCTTCAGCCAGAAGTGCCGAGTGGATGATCCATCTCGGCCTCCTCCAGTGGTCCCCAACATTACAGATACCAGTCTTCAGCCAATTTGATTCACTCCACGTGATATCAAGAAATGGCTGGAGGCACTGGATACTGCAAAGGTTATGGGCCCTGACAACATTCCGGCAATAGTACTGAAGACTTTTGCTCCAGAACTTGCCGCTCCCCTAGCCAAGCTGTTCCAGTACAGTTACAACACTGGTATCTATCCGACAATGTGGAAAATTGCCCAAGTATGTCCTGTACACAAAAAGCAGGACAAATCCAAATTGGCCAATTGCCACCCCATCAGTCTACTCTTGATCATCAGTAAAGTGATGGAAGGTGTCATCAACAGAGCTATCAAGCAGCACCTGCTCACCAATAACCTGCTCAGTGATGCCCAGTTTGGGTTCTGCCAGGGCCACTCAGCTCCTGACCTCATTACAGCCTTGGTTCAAACATGGACAAAAGAGCTGAGGTGAGGTGAGAGTGACAGCCCTTCATATCAAGGCGGCATTTCACCAAGTGTGGTATCAAGAAGCCCTAGAAAAACTGGAATCAATGGGTATCAGGGGGCAAACTTTCCGATGGTTGGAGTCATACCTGACACATAGGAAGTCGGTCGTGGTTGTTGGAGGTCAATCAGCTCAGCTCCAGGACATCTCTGCAGGAGTTCCTCAGGGTAATGTCCTAGGCCCAACCATCTTCAGCTGCTTCATCAATGACCTTCCCTCCATCATAAGGTCAAAAGTGGGGATGTTCGCCGATGATTGTACAATGTTCAGCACCATTCGTGACTCCTCAGATACTGAAGCAGTCCATATTCACATGCAATAAGATCTGGACAATATCCAGGCTTGGGCTGACAAGTGGCAAGTGACATTCATGCCACACAAACGCCAGGCTATGACCATTACCAGTAAGAGACAATCTAACCACCATCCCTTGACATTCAATGGTGTTACCATCACTGAATGTCCCACTATCAACATCCTGGGGGTTACCAATGACCAGAAACTCAACTGGACTCACCACATTAACAGAGTGGCTACAAGAGCAGGTCAGAAGCTGGGAATACTGAGGCGAGTAACTCATCTCCTGACTCCTCAAAGCCTGTTCACTATCTACAAGGCACCAGCCAAGAGTGTGATGGAATGCTCCCCACTTGCCTGGATGAGTGCAGCCCCAACAACACTCAAGAAGCTTGACACCATCCAGGACAAAGCAGCCTGCTTGATTGGCACCACATCCACAAGCATTCACTCCCTCCACCACCGACGCTCAGTAGCAGCAGGGCATATTATCTACCAGATGCACTGCAGAAATTCACTGAAGATCCTGAGACAGCACCTTCCAAACCCACGACCACTTCCATCTAGAAGGACAAGGGCAGCAGACATATGGGTACACCACCACCTCCAAATTCCCCTCCAAGTCACTCACCATCCTGATTTGGAAATATATCACTGTTCCTTCACTGTCACTGGGTCAAAGTCCTGGAATTCCCTCCCTAATAGCATTGTGGGTTAACCCACAGCAAGAGGACTGCAGCAGTTCAAGAAGGCAGTTCACCACCACCTTCTCAAGGGCAACTAGGGATGGGCAAGAAATGCTGGCCATCCAGCGATGCCCACATCCCACAAATGAATAGAAAAGAAAAGAAAAGGAGGGGTTGAGTGAGATGAAAGTGAATGGAAGAGCCGTTAGTTGTGTTGCAGAAGTAGGAGAGGTGATCAGGTGTCCACAGTGATGGACAGGAAGCAAAGAGGGCACAAATGGTGGGGAGGATGAAGTGTGAAAGAAAATAACATTGTCTAAATATGAGAAAGCTCAGCCCTGTATTTCCCTCAGGCCAGTGGCCATGCTGTAGTGAAGACAATGGATGCTGTTTTTTGAAAAGTTCTAGTTTATAGATATAATTTATACTTTAAAGCAACCTGTAGAAATCTGGGTTTGATGTGAGCTTATATTTGTGACATGTGTTGTCTTATCTAATCAGTCAGTAAATATCAGATATTTGTCACACACTGAATGTTAAGTTTGTCAGCTGGTGATCTGAAAAATACAAATGCTAATACATATCCAAAATCAATATTCGCAAAGTGATTTTCTCTTTAAAGCTTTCTGAGAAAAATATCAACAGCACAAGAATAATGCAAGTCCACGATTTTTAATCAAAGTATGTTTATTCTGTAAAACCAAATAGTTTATTTCAGAGAATTGAATCAAATTCAGCATTCCACCCTTGGACAGAACCAATAAAATTCTTAATGGGTGGAATCTGACCAGCTCCTGAA